CGTATAGCTCTTGCTAAGACTTCCAGCACAATATTGAATAGGCTTTCAGTTTCTCTCCATTGAGAGCAATGTAGGCTGTTGGTTTTGTATACATGCTCTTTATTATGTTGAGGAATTTGCCTTCAATTCCTATTTTGTTGAGTGTTTTTATCAGGAATGGATGTTGGATTTTGTCAAATGCCTTTTCTGCATCAGTCGATATAATCATGTGGTTCTTTTCTCTTTTCTTATTTATATGGTGGATTACGTTGATCGTTTTTCTAATGTTGACCATCCTTGCATCCCTGTTATGAATCCCACTTGATCATGATGTATTATCTTCTTGATGTGTTGCTGGATTCTGTTGGCTAGAATTTTGTTGAGAAATTTTGCATCTATGTTCATGAGGGATATTGGTGTATATGAAGTTGATTTTGATAATGAAGTTGTAGATGGAAAAAGCCTTTGCCCATCATAAAGAGCTTTAATAATGGATGCAGTGTTTGGGGGACAAAAAATTGTACTCAGAGCTGCCTTATGGGCAGACTGTGTCCCACTCAGTCTCTCAAGTCCCTCAAGCCCTATTTGCTCTTGGGGCAGTTTTCCCATGATGCTGTGCTTTTCCGGGACCTTGAAGGTTATGGGGGTTTTCCCCATGTGCATGAGCTAGTGCTAATTTGCAAGGCTAGGTGAAACCCAGATAATATGACTTGGAAAAACCCAGAGTGGAACTTGATTCAGGAAATCATGCTACTGGTTCATCTGTCTGTGGCCCTGTGGGAGAACTGCACCTCTCTGGATCCCTGCTAGCCCTCTCCTGAGCCTCCTTAAAAGCCACAGGCACAAAGCAGGGGCACAAAGCATTAGAAAGTTTTGTGAGCAGAAGAAAAGGAACTAAGCACTAAGACTTGCTGAGGCAGGGAGCTCTAAAGCCCAGATTCCACCCAAGTCTTTCCTGTGTCTTACTCATTTCTCTCAACATTCCAGTGAGGGAAAAGCTTCTTGGTCTCATTTTACAGATGAGGAAACCAAGGCCCATAGATGTGACGTGACATCCAAGATGACTCATTGAGTTAAAACCACAGCCTGTATCCTAAAGACTAAGTACAATAGCATTTCTACTTGGCCTTCAAGGTACCATTCAAGCATCTTTGCTTTCATGAGAAGATAGGTCAAAGAATTAGGAGCATAGTCTCAGGAAGTCTGGGTTTGCATCTCGGTTCTGCCACTCCTTACATCTGTAACTTGGTGAGTTATTGGACCTTTCTGAGTCCCCTCTTGCTCTTGACTCTCCATCAGGAGCCCCTCATGTCTCGTTTCTTCCTACCACAGGGCCTTGGCACTTGCTGTTCCCTCCACCTGCCCTTCCCTCTTCTCTTTTGGGCTGGTAAATTCCTCCTCATCCTTCAGTTCTCAGCTTGAGCATCTCTTCCCCCATGAAACCATTCTGGACACTGCCCAACTAGCTCAGTGTTCTCAGCTCACATGTGTCTGTTCCATGTGCCTCTCACCATCTGGTACCAGCAGCTTCCCAGGGCCTGTCCTTTACTGGTGACACAGAAGCACAAAAGAACAAACAAAAATGCATGATGCTTCTTGAGATGTTGATGTGGAACTGGCACACAGTCACTTTTGGCCTCATCCCATCAGCTAAACCAAGTTCACAGCCAAGTCCAATGCCATTGGACGGGGAGGACGACTCTACCCAAAGAGACTTACCTATACCTGTCACAAGAGCTTTGAGCACTAAAAGAGTCTTGGTTGCTTTTGCAAATCATCTTATCCCCAGCTCCAATCACACTTCGTGACACATAGTAGGTGCTCGATAAATGAGTGAATGGCTGCATGAGGATTCCTGAGGAGGCCCAAAGGGGGTGGGATGGGTACTTGCCTCCCCCAGCTCACCTGCCGTATCCCCTGACCCCACACTGGTGGGAAGGCTTCAAAGGTGAGCGTGACCACTGGCGTAGCGGACGGACCATCTGCATCAAGACCCATGAGAGTGGCCAGAAGGAGATCGAGGCCTTCGATGCTGCCATCCTCCTCATCCGGAACCCCTATAAGGCCCTCATGGCGGAGTTCAATCGCAAGTACGGCGGCCACATCGGCTTTGCTGCCCATGCCCACTGGAAGGGCAAAGGTACTACTTGAGAGGGGTGGGCAGGGTCTGGGTGTGAGGGGCAAGTGCTCTCTGGGTCAGGGTAGCCAGAAGGGAGCAGTTCTTCATGGGATAGGTTTGTGATGACTCATGTACAGGAGTGCTCACAAAGCCACAAGCACTGCTTTCTGTGAGAAGCTTGGGGCAAATCGAAGAACCTGTCATGGGAGCCAGGGAACCCAGGTCCAGCCCCATGTCTGTGGCTGATTAGCTGTGTGACCACGAGGTCCTAAGAGCTCTCTACAGACAAGCATTTCCATGAGTCCTGGTGTGGCGCTGTAGGTTAATGTGTTTCACTGCAAGGTCGGTCGTTCAAGCTCACCAGCCACTCCTTGGGAACCCTATACAGGGTTGCTATGGGTCAGAACTGACTCAACAGCACTTAACAACAACTAAAAGGCTAAGTGCCTTGCCACAGGTCACACAGCTGGGAAGTGATAATGTTTGTACCCAAACACTGAGCTTGATTGAGGTGACTTGGCTTTAAGCCTCAACTCTGACAACTTCTAGATTCCTTGTTTCTAGAGGGCTGTGTGAAGGGACCACTTCAATGCAGAGAGGCAGCCCAGGATCGCACCGGAGCTTTGAAGTCAGACTCAACTTTTGCCTTCTTGAGTAGACTTAACCTATTTGAGTCTCAAACTGCCGTACTGATCACCATAACAAGTCATGTCTAGTTACTGTTGCTAAGACCCAGCGAGTAGGTTCCAACCCACAGCAACCCTGTATAGAGTTTCCAAGGAGCAGCTGGTGAGTTTGAACCACCAATCTTATGGTTCAAATAGACTTTGCAGTCCAGCCCATTAACCCACAGCACCACACCAAGACTTAGCCATTTGAAAAGTAGCTAATAAGATGTGTCTAAGTCCCTAGGCAGCACAAATGGCTAAGCATTCGACTACTCCCCAAAAGGTTGGCAGTTTAAATCCCCAAGCTGCACCTTAATAATGAGGCCGGGTGATCTGCTTCTGAAAGGTCCCAGCCTTGAAAACCCTATGGAGCAATTCTACCCTGTATACGTGGGGCTGTACCATGAGTCAGAATCAATTAAAAAACTTACAACTTTTTGTTGGTGATGTTGTTAGATGCTGTTGGTTGTTAAGAGTTGGTTCCAACTCATAGCAACCTGGTCCGTGGGCCGTATAAGGCCTGCAAAATCATTTGGTGTGGACCTGCCAAGGCAAGTTCCAGCCATCACTTTGTTGTTGTTGTTAAGTACCGTCAATTCTGACGCATAGCAACCCTGTATAGGTTTTTCCAAGGAGCCACTGGTGAGCTTGAACCACCAACCTTGCAGTCTGACACATTAACCCATAGCACTACTCCAGGACTCCGGCCATCACATTTGTTGTTGTTGTTAGGTGCCATCAAGTCGGCACTGACTCATAGCAACCCTATGCACAGCAGAAGGAAACTCTTCCCGATCCTAGGCCAACCTCACTACTGTTGCCACACTTGAAGTCCATAGATGCTGCCACTTGGCCAATCCATCTCAATGGGGTCTTCCTCTTTTTCTCTGACCCTCTACCTTACCAAACATGATATCCTTCTCCAGCGACTGCTCCCTCCTGACAATATGTTCAAAGTATGAGAGACGAAGTTTGGTCATCCTGGCCTCCAAGGAGCACTCTGGCTGCACTTCTTCCAAAACGGATCTGTTGGTTCTTTTGGTAGCCCATATTCTCCTCCAACACCATAACTCAAAGGCATCAAGTCTTCTAATGTCTTCCTTATTCACTGTCCAGCTTTCACATGCATATGAGATTATTGAAAATACCATGGCTTGGGTCAGGCACACCTTAGTCCTCAAGCTGATATCTTTGCTCTTCAACACTTTCAGAAGGACTCATGCAGCAGATTTGCCTAATGCAATCTCCTTGTAAAAACCTCAGCCCCTGAAAATTCTACAGAGCACAGTTCTGCTCTGACACACATGGATTTGCTATGAGTCGGAATCAACTTAGCCCTTTGTCTCTGCTGCAAACAATTCTTATTCCTGAGAGCATCGGCCTCTATTTGTCCTTAAAGGTCAGGGAGGCATCTGGACTGAACCCCAAAGGTACAGGGGGTCCCTCACAGCCTCATCTAATGAGGAGCTCATGTCTTCATATCTATCTGGGATAAGACAGGGCCTTTCTCAAACCTAAGAGCAGAAGAGCTTGAGAGTCTTCCCAAAGGGCCCAAGCCAGCTCCACCTAGTCCATGCCTCCCATTTGCATGAACTCTGAGATGTGAGTGTGAAGCACTTACTTTAGGGCCCTGGAACCAGCAGCATCAGTCTTGGGGCCGGCAGACTGCGTTTTCATGCTCTTTTCGGCTGTAATCCACTGTTCTCAAGCCTTGTTACATCCCCATCATCTGGGAGTTTTGAGAAAAGTAAATCTTAGGTTTTTAATCAATGAGGATGTCCTGTTGTCTGCATCCTAGAAGCATCCAAGGATAGGGCACCCCCTGGGAATCCCCATCCAGGACTTGCTGAATCAGAATCAGCATCTTAACCACATGCCCCAAGTACCTTCAAGTTTGAGAGTTGCTGAACAAAGAGGACTCTCACAGCTTAGCACTTTAGGGCCATCCCCATAAGAGCAGAGGCTGTCCAGTGTGTCCACTCCACACTGGCCTTGTCCCCCTCCAGGTATAGCTCGGCTGAGACACCTACTAACCCCTCCTGGTTCCGTAGCATTAATTTTACTGTCTCCCTGGAGTGGTTCCAAAACAAAGTTTTATGTGGTATGATTATACGAGGTGAATTGTCCTGGATCAGTTTAATGAAACAGATATGGTGTGTAATGATTCCATGGGGATGAAGCACAGTGACACTAAATCAGGCCTGCCTCCTCGCATGGACAAGAAGATGGAGCAGAGACTGACTGCCCAAGGGTAGCGGGGTTTGGGCAGAAGCTGGCACTCAAGATGATACCCTGTTGTTGTTCACAGGTCATTTCTTACCTGATTTGGAGTGAGTCATCCATTGCCAGGAGCCCCGGCCTGATTGAGGGCTTTTATTTTTCATTTATATTATTATTTTTTCCAATGAACTAATTTAGGAGCTTCAAGTGAGGACACATTGCCACAGGAGAGGTAGATGGGTGGGCAGACATTTGCCAGGACAGCTAGGAAATCAGAGACAGCTTGCTTGGAGAGAAGCTCTCATTTTGAGATGATGGGACATGGGGGGGGCGGGGGAGGTGTCTCTGGAGCTGCTGGGGGTGGCAGTGTCATTTAATCACAACAAAGCTTGTCTTCAGCCTATAACTCATTGGAATACATAAAAGGGGTTCTAGAACTTGCCCCGTGAAATAGGCTTCTTGCAGAGCCTTTGTAGTGTATAGGACCTTAGGTGGACTCGTGAGCCCCATCCAAAACCTTCTGAGGTGAGACAATCCCACTTGAAAGGACAAGCAGACCAGCCTGGAGCAGCTAGAGGAACAGAAGATACTTATTGAAAGAAAGACCAGCAGGAAAAATCCAAAACAAAAATGGCAGTCTGATTAACTACTACAAGGACAAGCAAGTTGTTTGCCAGGGAGCCATCAAGGCAAACAATCAAGTCCCTTCAGGACAAAGTCCCCTCCAAGACTGAAACTCAAAGGAAACACTTGATGTAAGCCTGCTGGCAACCATGTTTTTCTACTGGTGAATGAAAGAGGGGGAAAGGCAGCAAATGAAGATATGGACTGAGTATGATCATGTTTCATAAATTCTCGTCAACCTAGAAATGAGAGAGAAAAGAGGAAGGGCTGGTTAGTCCAAAGTGTGGTGAGACCTGGGAACTCCTGCACCCATGAACAAGGAAGGACATAGCCACTGGCGGCGGGTGGAGGGGGGCCTAGAGCTGAAGAGGGAAGCATCCAGCTGATTGAAGTGAGGGGAGAGATGCACAAGAACACCCCAACTTGTAGATAGTACCCATTTGACCTAGCTTCAATGACTTAATAATCAGAACTCGACTAGAGGAAGAAAAAACAAAACAATTTTGATGAAGGAAACAAGTGTAAATTGCTACAATTTGATGAACTTGACCTATACTCATGGATGTAGTAGTTTAAAATACCAACGGAGAAGGAAAGAGTCTTCACATCAAGGATCCCTTCTGTATACAGGGTAGATAGGAACAGGCAACTTAGACATTGGCTACCTAAAATAAGGGGGCGATAAAGGCACAAAGTGACTGGCTTACAAGTTTTCAAGAGGGAGTTTAAGAGTATGCAGGGGAAGGTAGAGTCCCCACTGAATAGTTTTCATCTTGTCTAGATAGGTCTGGTGAAAGGAGATGGGGATAAGATTCTTGTGATTCAATAGTGAGTAACTGTTATAACTAATTGTGACTGTCACAACTGTAAAGGCAGAAGTTTTGTAGCAAAAAGTGGGTGGGAAATAGTTAATCTTACATTCCAGGAACAGAGGACTCTAGGACCATCAAGGGAGAAGAGCAGGAATGGAATGTGGGACCATATCCAGAGAAGCAGTGACACCAGAGATGGAGGCAGAGATGAGGGCATGGAGAGAGAGAGAGCAACTGAGAACTCTAGATTTATGGAAAGAGAAAGGCTGTGTGCTGGTGGCCAGGAGTCAGGCTTGTAGAATGTGTCCTTTGGTTGTTTAAATGATTATATAGTCCTGAGTGTTTTTGTGTATATCCACCCCCTGCAAAAAAAAAGGAACAGATTATAAAAAAAGAATAAATAATCACAGCATTAACCAACATGGATTGAGCACCTGCAGGCACAAGCGGGTTAGAATCAGATGCTAACCTAAACGTTGACGGTTCAAACCCACCCAGTGGTACCAGGGAAGAAATGTCTGGCTATCTATTTCACAAATAAGCTAATGGCTGACTTGCTTTGGACATGTCATCACAGGACATCGGAGGAGGACATCATGCTGTAGAGACTCAGTGATGTGAATTGGCACAGTAGTCATCACATCAATGGACTTGCAAATGCTGGCAATTGTGAGGACCCGGCAGCGTTTTGTTCTGGGGGTTACAGCTGTACAGCAGTTAACCCCCACAACAGAATTGGGTGCTCCTTGTGAGCTCAGCACAGCCACTAACACACAGTAGGCGCCCTGGCAGTATCCAGCCCACCTGGATGCTCACACTCAAGAGCCCTGTGTCCCAGGGTGGTCTGTGACCAGTGACACCATGCCATCTCCATCCAAGGCTGTGGCACCCTCCTTCCCCAAGCATCAGAAATGGCCAAGCCTCAAGTCCAGACCTATGTGACTTGTGCCACCTCCATCAAAATAGGATAATTCTCGAAGAGTAGAGCAACCCGTACGCATGCTGAATTTGTTTTTTAATCACTCAAATGCATCTGGTTTTAGATGGGCCCAATTTAGCCACTGACATCATAAAATAATGTAAATTTTAAGGGTGAAAAATATCCTTATTACTGGCATGAATATTTCCCAAGTAGTAGGAGCATTCTGGTAGGAAGTTGGGGAGAGTCGGGGAGCAGGAGCATACGACACAGATTCTGTGTGTTCTCCAAAGAAAGAGGGGCCCTTTATCACGTCAAAATGTGGCAGCTGGGAATTTCAATTTTGTTCCACAGCCATTTATTGAGCCACTGCTGAAGCAGTGGGAGGAAGTGGGGATGAGGCTGCCCGTACCTAGGAAGGTTCAGGGCCACTGGAATGAGGCTGGGTGTGGATGCTGCTTCCAGGCTGTGTATGACAAGTCACTACACCTGGGTGGTGGTTGTTAGTTGCAATGAAGCTGATCCTGACTCTGGCATAGTAACCCTGTGTGTTGAGAGGCTTTTCAAGATTTTTGAGCTCTTGGAAGAAGATCACCAGGCCTTTCTTCTGAAGCACCTCACAAGTTCCAGTTGCCTTCCAGTCTTTTGGCTAGTAGTTTGCACCATACAGGGTACCATACTAAGAACTTTAAATGCTTTGTCCATACAGGGTACCATACTAAGAACTTTAAATGCTTTGTCCATTTATTCTGTAGATTCTGATCATCCTGTGAGTAGAGGCTGTGACCACAAAGTAACAAGATAGCTTGGTAGTTTAAAGCCCAGACATTGAAGCTAACCTACCTGAGTTAAAAGTCTAGCTCTGCTACTTATGAGCTGCGTCACCCTGAACAAGTGACTTGACCTCTCTGTGCTTTGGTTTCTACTTCTGTGAAATGGAGATAATGGCATTCTCTGGCTCATGGGGTTATTTGAGGACTTAAGTGTTGAGGAATGGTCCTGACATGTATGCCTCATGTATAAGTGTTGCTGTGGTCCCCCAAAAGAAAGAAAGGCTAAGAACGCTCCAGGCAGAAGAAACATTGGGTTGGGAGGGATCTGATGAGTTTAGAATCTCAAAGGAGTTAATTATGTTATAATTATTATGAGTAATGCAATATAATAATTATAATTATTGGTGATAACATGTATACTCATATTATGTATGTATATGTTAACACATAATGATTGTTGTGACTAATAGCAGCCATTACTGCTGCACCATCTTTTCAACCCCTCCTCCCTCTGACCGGTTCCCACCATCTGCCTCACCTTCTTCCAGAGTGGCCGGAGTTCGTGAGGAACTATGCCCCATGGTGGGCCACCCATTCGCTAGACTGGCTGAAGTTTGGCAAGAAGGTCCTGGTAGTGCACTTTGAGGACCTGAAGCAGGACCTCTTCGTCCAGCTGGGCCGGATGGTCCATCTGCTGGGTGTGGCAGTCCATGAAGACCGGCTGCTGTGTGTGGAGAGCCAGAAGGATGGCAACTTCAAGCGCTCCGGGCTCCGGAAGCTCGAGTACAACCCCTACACAGCAGACATGCAGCAGACCATCTCCACCTACATCAAGATGGTGGACGCAGCCCTGAAAGGGAGGAACCTCACCGGTGTGCCCGAGGACTACTACCCGAGATGATGCGTTGGGTGGGGGAGACCCCCAGAGACCCCACCCATCTGCCCTCTCTTTGGTTTGGGGACATCCCTTTGGCTGCCGTTTGTCATAAATGAGTTTCCTGCATGACAGAGGAGGCTCAAGGAAAGAAATTGTCCGGGCACTCCCCAAGCTATTTACCCACCCTGCTGCCCCCAGGAGATGTGGACAGCTGGCTTGGAGAACTCCAGCCACATGGACCCTTTCTGTCCCCATGTCCTTGCCCCCACCTCTAGTGTCACCCTAAGCTCCACTTGTGGGAGGGACATACTAGATGCCCACAGCAAGTATTGAAGACCTCGATGTTAAAAAGGGGCCCTGGGTTCATTAGTCTAATCACATGTTATGCTCCTGAGATGCAATCTGGTTGCTGAGAGGGGTAGAATCCTACCCTTATCTCCCCCCTCTATGTCCAGCAGGATCCTTGGTCCTAACCCCAAGGTTTCTCAGGCACCAGCAGACCACTTACCCCACCAGGATGGCGTGTCCCAGAATTTTTTAATAAGAGCGAGGCCCTCCATTGTGGGGCCCAGCTCATGATTCTTACACTGCCTCTCTGACCCCTAACAATGGGCCCTTTGTTATCTACACCGGAGGGCACGGGCACTCCAAATGAGGTAGGACTATGTCCAAAGGAGACCCCACTACCTTCCCACGCCATCACCCTCCCCTAGATCCTAGTCTACCCAGGCCAGCATCTCCTGGGGGCCCCTGTAAGACATGAGGTGAGTCGGAGGGCTCCTCATTTCCACACAAATGCTGCTCTCTTGATGCTGAGACACCAAACCAAAGGCTTCTCGAAGACCAGTCTTACAAAACCCTGCCCCAGGATCCCATCCCGACCCCCTACCACCACCACCTTGGATACCAGTGGCTTCCCATCGGCCCACACCTGTGCATCACACCCCTCTCCTCACCATGGAGATGCAAAAGCCATAGGTTGTAGCCTCTTTGCCCTTCGGTCTGGCGCAGCCTCCCCAAGAGGCCCCTCTGAAGCTTCAGGGCCCAAAGGGCAAAGAGTCCACGGAGGAGGCGAGTGTGAAGAGATCTATATTTTTAAGAGGAATATGATTAATACATTCCGCCCCTTAGAATCTGGCCTTTCAGAGGAAGGGCATAGAGGGTGGGCCTGTGAGTCCCTTCCCTGGCTCCCTGGTGGGATTTGGGCTGTCTCCCATGGCCCTGCCAGGGGACTCTGAATGTATTTTGTACTGGGTTTCTTCCCCTCGCCCCCAGGATGAATTTCTAGTCTTTCTTTAGCAAAGCAGTAGAGGTCTGGGCCTCCCCTCTCATTGGAGGACAGCCCTCTCTGGAAGACTCTTGGCCCAAGACCTGGGCCTGTTCTTTTGCTGGTGGACACCTTAGGCCGCAGGCCTCTGTCTGAAGATTCCTCAGGTCAACACCACCATTAAATGCGAGTTTTGTTAACTCTACCATATGGCAAAGGAGTGTATAAGGCAACAGCATCCATGGGCTGTTTCTCTGGGGTATGCGTGTGTATGTATGTGTGACAGAGGAGGCAGACGGGAGAGAGAATGTTCTGAGGCAGGGAGTGCCTGCTGTTTCCTTGATTTCTGTGTAACTTCAGAATTTGGACCTGTGTCGAACTGCATGCCTCTGTGTGTACAGCTCTCGTTGGGTTTAGCTGTCTGTGTGTGTTAGACTGTATCCCCCAGGTGGTGTGATGACCCCCCATTTTCCCACGTGTCTTTGTAGGCTCCTGTCTTTGTTCTCCAATGCTTCTCTAACAAATGCCACAAGTGGATGCCTTTAACAAACAAATGTATTCTCTCGCAGTTTGTTAAGTGCTGTCGAGTCAGTTCCAACTCAGCAACCCTGTATAGGGTTTCTAAGGAGTGGCTGGTGAGTTGGAACTGTCGACTGTGTGATTCAGACCAACCTTGTGGTCCAGTGCTTTATCCCGGAACCACACTAGGACTCACAGTTTAGGAGGCTGTTCTGGGGAAAGGTCCTTGTCTCCTTCCAGCACCTGCAGGCCCAGCACTCCTGGGAGATCTCCACGTGTCTTGGCGGCCATCTTTCCCTGTATCTAGGAGCTTCCCAGTGCAGGGCCCCCAGGGCCAAAGAACTCACTCCACTTGGGTTCTTCTTTCTCGGTGGTAGTAGATCACTTCTCTCTCTTTTTATCTCTTTCCCTGGTGTGGCGCTTTAGGTAAGCACTGGACTGCTAACTGCAAGGCTGGCAGTTCAAACCCACCAGCCATTCCTCAGAAACCCTATACAGGATCCCTATGATTCAGAACTAACTCGACGGCACTTAACAACAACAGCAAGTAAAAGGTGCCACAGACCACATCCCTGGGGAAACTTCCTTTCCATGGGGGCAGGGTCATAATGGGATTGGGGGTCTTGCAGCCCACCTTTAATCCTTTTCTTGGTTTATCACATCAGAATACATCACGGGGGATCGTCACATAACAGCCATACTACATCAATGCGTAAGTGCCAAGCCACTAAGAATCATGGCCCAGCCAGCTGACACACATTTGGGGAAGTCACCGTTTCCTGTGTGTGGAGTTGTGGGTGTATAAAGGAAAGAATGGCCCATAGGCATCCTGGGACTGTTGTCTCTGGAGGCTGTGTCTTCTGTTTGCTATCCTGGGTGACCAGGAGAGTGTGGGGTGGGTTAGGAGTGCTCCGGTAAGGGAGAGGTACTATGGGAGGGTCTTCTTGGGTATCATTGTGTGTGAGACAATGCTTGTGTGTGGAGAGTGTGCACACAGGAAGAACAAAGAAGAACCTCTGTTCTTCAGTCAGCAGGGCTGGGTATCAGCCCCCAAACATTTCAGTACCCCTAAAGGGAGGCGCAAGGAGCTCTGGTAGCGTAGTGGTTACGAATCGGGCTGCGAACCTTAAGGTCAGCGGTTCGAAATTACCAGCCGCTCCGCGGGAGAAAGATGAGGCTTTCTACTCCCGTAAAGATTTACACCCTCGGAAACCCTGTATAGGGTCGCTATGGGTCGGACCCGACTCGATGGCACTTAACAACAACAACAACAAAGGGAGGCGCTGTGTGCTCTCTGCCCCCCATCAGCAGGGTCTTAGTAGGAGGTGGTGGTTTCCCAGCTATAAAAGGAGGGACAAGGTTGACACACTGCCTTGTGGACATGAGAGTGCAGGGTGGGGAACAGCTTGGAAGACAGAGGAAGGATGGACTTGGAAGCTGAGGCCTACTGAGGTAGAAAGGAGGAAGGAAGGGTTCATACAGGGAAGAGTATAAAGCTGTTCTCATAAGGGCAGTTTGCTCTCTGGGGGCTCCTGCTGGCATGCAGAACCTGTAAAGGGTGACTAAGCTCTTATTTGAGCCCCAGGCTGAACTCTGAATCTAACCTCAGACAGAACCCCAATCCAAGAATCCTGATTCTGAGCTGGGACTGAGCCCTGAGCCCTTTGACAGATTGAGACCAAAACCAAGTCACAAACCAAAACTCAGCCCAGGTTATAGAATGAACCCCAGTTTTAAGTTATAGTCTGAGCCCCAAATGCTCCCCAAATGTGTTTCAGGATGAACTCCAACGCTGACCCCAGTCTGAACACTGCTGTTCTCCCTAGACTGAGTCTTTCCTGCTCACATACTGATCCATGTTCTTGGCCTCACACTGATCCCTGATCCCAGCCCCTGATCCTGGCCCAGGCTGGGTCTTAAATCTGGCCCTATTCAGGATTGGGCTCCAACATGGGTCATTGGCTGCTGAGTCTTGACCAGTCGGTCCTAGACTACATGCCAATAGTATGTCCTGACTAATCTCTAATCTCTCACTGGTCCTAGACAGTGTTCCAGTCTTGGCCCTGAGCTTGACCGTACTGAACCCTGACCGTGATCACCTCTGAGCTCTCATTTGACTTCAGATTGAGCCTTTGGCTGGTTCCAGCATGAACTCTGAGCCAATATGTCAATATTTCACTTCTCTACATAGTATTTAACTAACCAGATCTACCAGACATGAGGGGAGCCATGGAGCTTCTAGCGTGTGCTCTCTGGGTCCTCTGCAGATCCCACAGACCTGAGGTGACATCCTTCTCCCTACATGTGCCGGGTGGGGGCAGCATGCAGTTGGAAGCGTGGAGGCTGACATAGATGGTCAACAGCCTTTGTTATTTGTCAGTCCTGCCCCCTTTGATCATACTCTACCAGGCACCTTGAGTCAAAGAGCCTGGAGAACTCAAAGCATGCACTCAATTCATTCAACAAGTATCAACTGAGCACCTACTGTGTGCCGGACACTGCTTTGTGTTCTGGAGATGGAAAAGAACAAAATAGATAAAACCTGCATCCCTGCAGAGCTTGCATCTGACCAGACCTCAAGTTACAAGTGATCCGAAGACTTTGGCAAAGATGTTCATGGCACAAAGAAGAAAAGGGCTTGGCCGTTCCTGGCCATCCCCATGAGGCACAGAGAGATTATTAAATCCATTTAATGGAGGAGTCCTGGTGTGGTGCTGTAGTGTAGGCACTGGACTACTAACTACAAGGTTGGAAGTTCAAAACCACCAGCCACCCCTTGTAAGCCCAATACAAGGTTCATCATGAGTTAGAACCAACTCGATGGCACTGAACATGGAGGAGGACACTGTGGATCAGAGAAGGGCAGCAATGGGCTTTAAGCCTCATGGGGCAATGCCCCATCCTCCATACTGGTCCAAAAAGTCCTATTTGTGCCCAAGGGTGTGGCCCTGGTACCTGAAGAGAAAGGGAAGCTTTGGATCTCTGGGGTGTAGGGAACATGCCTGGGCTGAGACTTCCATCCTCTGGTCACCGTGGATTCACTGTGACTCCAGGACAGAAGACATCAAGCAAGGTCCAGCCATGCCAGTTGTGGGCTCTCATCTTACTTGCTCCAACAACCCTGGAGGTTCCTGTAAGCACTACCCAGTGAGCAGGGTTGGAGGAGGGGGACTGGAGGCAGAGGCTCAGTGCTGAGATTGTCCACCTTCTCTTCTCTCTCTCATGGCTCTCTCTCCTG